ATTTGTTAGAATTGTGACCTTGAAGAAATCTGCGCGAAGATAGAAAGAATACACACTAGGCGTGAGCAAGACAGAAATAGTTGGAACAAGCTTGAACGAGCAGAGCTCTCGATGGGCGGTTTTAGAAGATCGGCTAGAACTGTACAGTACTAGACGAAAATGTTTAGCAATTTCTTAAAACAAAAATGTATATAAATTAACANTATAATTCACAAACTAATGATCCGACAGCCGTCAAATTTATAGACGCGTCTTTTGAAGGTTAGGACTAACTGAAAATCATATGGATTTGTGGGGGTTCGGTATAACTCGCACATATAATTAAATGAGCGTGAATGTGAATAACAATAACAATTTATTAATATTCACGCTCATTTAATTATATGTGCGAGTTATACCGAACCCCCACATAATTGGTGACCCCGACGTGATTTGTTAAACAGTGAATACAGTTATTGTTACAAATAATACGCATTTTACATCGAATAAAACACTTGTCGTAGTTACTGCGTAGTACAATGGCAACAGGCGGTTTGAATACACACACGCCAACGGGAGATACTGCCGATCCTCTAGGGCGAGTTGACAATACACTACCATCAACATCCGGAGGTTTAGTGGATGGCATTAAAGCCGAGGACAGACACACGGACTCAGTGGAACGATTAGACCTTCCAACCTTTTGGGACAGAAAAGTCGAGCTTTGGTTCGCTTCAATCGAGTCACAGTTCGCCAGCCGACGCATCACCTCTGATTCATCAAGATACCATGCTGTCGTAGCCAAGCTCAATCAAGACACGTTGTCCGTCGTAGAACATCTCATCACGCATCCTCCCGCTCAAGACAAATACGTATCGCTCAAGAAAGCATTGATAAGCCATTATTCCATCTCACAAGAAAGGCAGTTCAGGACGCTCATTTAATTATACGTGCGAGTTATACCGAACCCCCACAGATTTATTTCTGGTGCCGCCAGGCCGGGGACTTTTCAATTGACCCTAGTACATCAGCTATTTTTCAGCTAATTTACCAGGATTAAAATGATTAAATACTTAAATGTCTACACTGTGCGTAAATACGATAAAAGTAGTTTAAAACCTACAATTCTGCCTTGCAAGTTAGTGTCATTAATTGTCGACGAAATGACCGAAAGGGTTAATCTAAACCCGAGTCAGTCTCCTAATGAAGTTTTTAAATCACTCTGTAGACGGTGCTTTACATACGCACGTAATAGATAAACGCCGGCATTGGCGTTGATTTGTGTAAGCTCGGCCAATAAAAAGGACAATAACAAGCTTGTTATGTTAATTCCTGGCACAGTACAACCCCTGCCGCCGTCGGATCTCTATTACTTTCCACTCGAAATCTGTCTGTTTACAAATTCGTTTTAATGTCGACAGTAAACGTAACGAACCGAATGAATTTATAGGTGCTTTCGGTCTGTGAGCCGTACAGGTAGATTTAGTGCACTATTTATTGGATCCTGGCGCCCACCGCGCCTCGCCAGTGTCGAACTTTTTATGTTAATTCAATTACAAAAGAAAAAGATCTCGCATTAATAAAATCATAATGCCCATACGGCCGCGATGACTTTGTCCCATTCCGTTATTATTTACGATCGCCCTATAGACCGAAACAATATGCATATTCAATTTTTTAATAAAGTTTTGACCGGCACAAACGATAAATTAAACTTTATAATGACGCTATTTTTAGCTCGATGTACACCATTCGAAAAAAAAAATGAAAACAATATGTATACAACCTGTCTATTCACTTTAATTTTTTATTGTTTCCTGTATTATTAAAGGAAAACCTATTAAAACTTAACGGACTCAAAAGTGATAAAAATAAAATTGCATTTTTGAAGTGAAACTTCTTTACGCACGGTAGGGTAAGTTCGTTTCATGCGAGTTTCTATGTAACGAAATCATGCAACGCACTTTAACCGCTGTCTGTCCCTATGTATGTTTAGATCTTTNCTTTTAAAAACAACCGCATCAAAATCCGTTGCGTAGTTTTAAAGATTTAAGCATACATAGGGACAGATAGCAGCAAAGTGACTTTGTTTTATACTATGTAATGATAAACAAACAGCTATTGATTAACTAAAACTCTAGACAACTGCATTACCAATAAAACAAACAACAACAAAACACCAGCTGCGAAGATCAAGTATGATTCATATTTTTCTGTTTGAAGTAATTGAGGTATAGTTTTTCTATCATTATGTTGTAGTGTCTTTAGTTCAGAATCAAATAATTCTTCTATATGCTTCTTGATTTACCTATCTCTTCCCTTTTAATTCGAAAAAAGACAGTGATGTCAAATTAGTCTGCTTGGCGTGAAAGGTCAGAGCCAAAATAGGGTTGCAAATAATTTTATTGATATAAAATCACCATTAATCATTTTATATCAAAATATTTACAACCTCATTTTATTTCTGATATTTTACACGTTATAATAACAGAAAGAAATGGATATCCATAGTTTCTTTAGCTTAGGACTCATCTAATATGTGAAGTTTTTGAAATTGTTTTCTGACAATTTTGAATTATATGCATTTATTAGCACATCACACATTTACACAGCTGACGTATATCAATTCGATATTGTTTTGCAAGCTTTTTTGTCGTAATTCATAGAATCTCGTAGTTTCTTGCTAAAGGTACGGTAATTAGTGATTTGNTTAATTCACTTGTTATTATTTTTGGCTAAATATGCTTTTAAATTAAGAATATCCTTAAATTTTAACGAGGCAGTTTAAATAATTTTGCAAATGGTACTGTACACTTTTGTTCAGCTATCGCTCGATGATCGCTGGAGAAATGAGCTCCGCAGACAAATATGATTGAATTTGGAATTATGCTACGGCGCATCCTAATAAAGGCAAGGGGCATATCTCTAACTTCTTGAAACGAACGGTAGGGTCTTTCTTATTACTACTTGCCGGGAGACAATTTACCAACACCCGAAAATACAGAAATCCGTCACCGAGACAAATTCATCATGAACGAACTAAATTTTAAGGTTTTCCCCATCATAAAATCATCTTGTAACTGTTTTTTATAAATAACTTTTCTTATTTTACACGTACGGTCTTTAATAAGTCGAAACATCTGTCAGATAAATTTACCTAAATTAAAGGGATACCTATCGAGAAATGGAGAAAAAGAAAAAACAAATTAAAGGGGTTAAAAAAATTTTCATGGAGTGTCTAAACGACAATCGCTTCCACAGACGATGTTATGTACCAATGAAATCGATTCCCTCGCCGGTCGTGAACTACTTAAAATGGATCCAAAACGTAAATGGAAAGCAACATTCTTGACGGTTGTGCTCACAGAAAGTCCTTATTAGCGGCGACGCAGCCGCTAAGAGCTCGATAATTTCCAAGACAATATTGCTAACGAACGGATCAGAAAGGAAGTTGTGGCGTACCCGAGGGCGAACTCATTTAGAATGGATATTAATGACGAGGCAGCATGAAGCGGTAACAGGACGGACAGTTTACAAATAGGGACAATTAGTAAAGACCATTTTAAAGCCATCAAAGTCTGAATAGTATGACTGATACTTTGCTCTAAGAATCGCGGCGAGCAAGTAACCATTGCGACTAAACTTCTTCTTCTTATTCTTCCTTGGCTTTGACTTCAAACGAGAATGCTTTCGGTTTTTAAGATAGATTTTATCCAATTTATCTCCAGCTCAGTCAAGTACGACTGCGGTAGCTGAAAGCTACTACACAAACCGGCATACAAACTTGTCTAAATCTGCACAATAGAAACAGGTTGATGTATAGAAGTAACAGTCGATTCTTTTAAGTGTACCACTAGATTCGTTTCGTTACAATTCCTATTTATGAAGGTCTGTAAAAATTCTATTCGAATCATCTTATAGCCTGGAAGTAGAAGGTTTTTGGGGCTAATTTGGTGCCCATAATTTGTCCAAGATATTGACGTTCAGTACAACTGTAGCGATAGATGTGCAAGGGCAAAAAATTAGTATGCTTAGATTTGCAGATGATATGGCAGTATTAGCATCTAGCAAGGAGGACCTAGAGATAGCTTTAAATAAAATGGAAGCGGTACCGACAGATCAGTACTGTATGAAAATAAATAAAAGTAAAACTAAAATGCTGGTATGCATGGGACGAAAAAGTAGGGAAAGAGCGAATATAAAGATAGGAGACGAAAAATTAGAAGAAGTGACTGATTTTAGATACCTAGGAAGTCAGATAAGTCAGGATAAAAGGAGTAGTAGGGATATAAAGCAGAGGATAGCGCAGAGTCGTGCCGTCTTTAATAAAAAGAAGACACTTCTATGCTCGCGAACGGTTAATTTAGAAATTCGAAAGAGGTTGTTAAATAAGGTATATGTTTGGAGCACAGCGTTATACGGGTGCGAAACATGGACAGTGGGCGCGGCGGAAAAGAAAAGGTTAGAAGCGTTCGAAATGTGGTGTTATAGGCGGATGATGAGAATAAGTTGGGTACAAAAGGTTAGAAATGAAGAGGTATTGGAAAGAATAGGAGAACAGAGGACTCTATGGAAGTCAATAAAAAATAGGCGAGATAGGTTGGTAGGACACCTTCTCAGGCATGAA